CTTGTAACCACAGCCTTTAATACACCTGTGCCTTAGAGGGGAGCACTCCATCAGCCTCTCCAGGGTTTTAAGCAAACATGACGAGAGACTGATTGACCTGAAATCTTTCGGACAGACGTGAAGGCTTTTGCCGACCCTCGATACAACCTTTCTCGGATGCAACTATCCTTAGACTTTTTTAAATTTTGGCCAATTCATGTTTTGTTTTCCTTAAAAGGATATTTAACATTATGTGCAACTTAGGTTAGGTAGGTTAGGTTTGGTTAAACGGGCAGCTCTGAATAACAGTTCACTCGGAGGCCGCAGAGGCCCATTGTGATACCCATGGGGGCTACCCCAAGCCTATCCCTACATGTCTTCGAACCATTTTGATTTTCTGGCGAATCCTAGCAGTCCTTGCAGAGGAGCTTTCCCCAAGATATCCAGATTCTCGAAGATGTGGTCCCCAAGAATCTTGAGGCATTTTCTTCGAAGTGCTGGACACTCGCAAAGGAAGTTCTGGGCGGTTCTAGCTCCGCCTCATCCCTGCAGCTTCTACAGAAATCATTATGCGGGGCTCCGAACCTGGCGGCCTTGTGGCCAATGGTGCAGTGTCCCGTTAGTATTCCTGTGAGAAGGAGAAAACTGCAATATATCTAATGAAGGAAAATGATCAGAAACTTGAAATTTACTTCAACAAATTATTTCAGTGGATGCGACAGAGACAAACTTTAGTAGTATAGTAATCGCTCTACTATATACACCGCCAACGAGATGAACTGTCCGGTAAAAGCTGTTGAATTCGTCTTACGTCATTTACTATAAAAGAGGAGGAGTTTTAAAGGAAGAGTGGAAAAGAAAACATCATTTGTGTATTTGTGGTATTTTTTCAGTACAAAACTTTGAGCTCAGCGGCTCGAGGCTGTATATGTCAAAGAGCTTGAGAAAAAAGAGGCAGGCTTCTTAGAGGGAGCTTTACCTGATATCGATAAGTCTTTTCACTGACTATCTTCAACAAATTCACTCATTTGCCGTTTGATAATTTTATGCAGGCTATACACGAACGAAATATGAGTTGAGCATTACAGTTTTTGTAAGCAGCTCATGGTGCATACTTTTAGGCGCTTTTCTTGCTGTTAAAATTTAAAATCGAGTGCACTGAAGGCGGACTACAGTGTTGTCCACGTGATGAAACGGGTTGAAAGGTTGTGTTTGCGAATGTCGGGTTTTTCATGAGAATAATAAAAAATATCTTTTGAATTGCTACATAAGCATTTTAGTTAAAAATAAGAGTAATTTGGAGGTAAAAAGTCAAAGAGAAGTCAAAAAGAAGTTGAAATATGCAATGTTCGTCAGAAGAAAAGTCATAATAGATCATACACTACTAACTATTTGCAGCACACACCACACCTTCTGCTTCAGTGGCCGCTGCGCTAATGTAAACGTAAAGCAGGCACATCCACAGCTTTGACAAAAAACTCAAAACTGGCAGCTATGCTCGCGCGAGCTCTCAGTGGGCCTGCTGTAAAATGCTTAACAGCACCTCAATCGCTCATCTAAGACGGCAAAAGTTGGCGCTCCTACACTGCGCTCTCAAAAAGACTGTCTGAAGCTCCCACTCTTCACCAGCATTATCTTTTATACTTCTGCTGTTAACCCAAAAAAAAGCTTTCGTTGCTCCACCAACAGTAGCCCACCTGCCTCACTCACACTCAGCAACCATACGCGCTCTCGTTCACATGCTCGCCAACGTTTCGCCACTGCTCGTCACTGCTGCTATTGCTGTCGC